TTGAATGTCAGCAGACAGCAAGAAGCCTCCCAGATCTCCAGATGCATTTGAGATATCAAAAAAGTACTCCAGAGTGTCGTTCAGCATGGGGGGCAGTAGAAAATGAAGGCTAATCATGTTTTGGGTGTATTATTCCTTTAAAGCAGGGTTTTTTAACCCTGGTTTTAGATGTTTCCCAGCATTCACACACCTGCTATCAATCAATAGCATAATATCAGGCTGAACAGCAATCATCTGAATCAGGTGTGTTGAAGCTGAGAAGCATCTAAAACCTTCAGGGCAGTGTGCATTAAGGACCAGGGCTGGAGAAACATTAAAGGACATCAGCCCATCCCTCCTCCGTCCCTGAGCCGCCGGGTTCTGAGCCGCCGGGTTGTGGACTGGCCTCCCGCCTTGCCTTGTGTTGAACCGCCATGAAGCAGCCTTGGCTTCTATAGATCTTCTCTACCTTTCTCGGTTAAACTGTGATGAGTTTCACTGGTTTTCATTGGTTAAAACGTCCATGTCTCCACTGCTGTTTGCTTCTGCTTACCCGTCTGCTTTTTGAAAACTTGATCTAAAGGTGTTTCCTGTCTGAAGTTTGAGCTTTTTTAAATCCTGACACGGGGCTCCACCCTGCAGGACAAACACAGACCCTCACCTGGTTTGTTGGATAAAGTTTCTGTGGAGGATGTTTGATTCCCTTTCTTTAGATTCAATGAGCAGCAGCTCCATGGAGCCAATCAGGAAACTTGACTTATTCCTTTAGCAGATGATTTTCCTTTCCTGCTCGGTTGAAAGCAACCCTTTCATTTCCAGACATTTTGTTCCTGTTCTTAGATCAGTTCTCAGTCTTTCAGTTAGGGGTGTAAATAATAATCGTTTTGTATCGATGCATCGATCCAACAGCCGACGATCCGATGCATCGACACGTCCGCAAAAGTATCGATTCATGGTTTTTTTTTTTCCTCCGGTCTATTTTTATCCATTTGCTCCTGGATGTAATTCTCCCTCCCGTGCTGCGGTGGCGCTAAACCTATTTTGCCCTCCTACCTCGCTTCCTGGTTATACTCTTACAGCAGTGTGTTGCAGTGAGCTTGACACAGACATTTGTAAATAATGCTCAAAATTGAAGCGTGGTCTGAGCTACACGCTGTGGGTCTAGATACGGCTGAGGCGGCGAGGAAGTGGGGGCGAGTTTAGTCCGACGACGGAGGGACATGAGGGCCAAAAAGAGCGGAGATCCAGGTGGAAAGAGGGTCCCAGCGTTCTCGAGCACCTTGCTCTTCTAGCGGGTCAAACTTCACGAGTTGTTTTCTGCAGCACTGTCTGCGGTCAGCTACAATTTGGAAGAGGTGCAGTGGAGCGTCTGGAGCCAAGGTATTGCATTGCCCTCAGTGCAATCACTGATTTTCTGCAGTATTTTTTCATGCAAGTCCTTTCAGGATCTATACCGCAGGGGTATTATTATTTTTCAGTGAATGAGGTTTTAATAGGAATAGGTGGAGTGCAACTTTTCTACTTCTGTTATTTGCTGTTGTTTCTCAAAAAATACCTAACGATATGACAGCTTTCATTGATTTATTTGACTATTTGAAATTATTGTCTAGCCTGTAAGGTAAAAAAAAATAAAAATATTTACCAATTAATCGAATCGTTGGGTCAGGAAATCGATACTGAATCAAATCGCCATGATGGGTGTGATTTACACCCCTACTTTCAGGGAACTTCCTTCCTACACAGATTCCGTCTCTCCTGCATGTTTTTTGTTGGACTGAAGTGACTCCTGGCTTCTGTTGTTCTTCCTCTGTTATTCACCTGCTGCCAGCCATTAACAAGCACTGCGCTGGTGGCTGTACGGCCCTCTCTACTTCCTGACCTGCCTTGAATCCTCTTCCTGTGTGGNTTTGTTGGACTGAAGTGACTCCTGGCTTCTGTTGCTTTGCCTCAGTGATTCACCTGCTGCCAGCCATTAACAAGCACTGCGCTGGTGGCTGTACGGCCCTCTCTACTTCCTGACCTGCCTTGAATCCTCTTCCTGTGTGGATGTTTTCCGGAGCAAACCGATGCTCAGTCTGGGACCAGCTTCAGACCATGATTACAGTGGATGCTCTATCAGGACGTTTGTCTGGAAACAATAACTGCACAATGTGTCTCTGCCTCCATCTTTTCTTTTCCTGCTGTAGCTCCTTTGCAGCAGCTCTTGGTGTTGAGTTCTAGCTAATAAAAAGGACGGGGGGGTCATTAATGGCGTGATTTACTACGAGATGATAACTCACAGGTTTATCTTTAGAGCAGAGCAGCCATCAGAGTAGCTGCTGAAAGCTTCTCATGGTTGGAGGTCATTTTAAAAATAACTGCTATTAAGGCTTAATGAAGCCGTCCGGATGGAGAGCTCCATCTCCTGCTGCTCCTTCACTCACTGATGGATCCATCTTTGATATCTACAGATGCTTCTTCAGTCTGCAGCCTGTGGGCCCTCAGCCTGTCGATCTGCAGCCTGTGGGCCCTCAGCCCAGGAACCCGTCACTGACCTCTCCTGTCCCCCTCTCTTTGTTTCTGCAGTGTGAAGCGTCCAGCAGGCATGTCCAGCATCCTCGGTCAGATTGGAGGAAAGAAACAGAAGATGAGCACGCTAGAGAAGTCCAAGATGGACTGGGACGCCTTCAAATCCGAGGAGGGCATCACCGAGGAACTGGCCATCCACAACAGAGGCAGAGAAGGGTAGGAGGCTCCAGGGACCCATTCAGTCCTTCCTAGAGCTGGACGTCCTGAAACCAGCTGGAGACGAGTCTGAGCCGTTAGGAGGCAGCGTGGTCAGCTGAGGGTTCCTGTCCGTCACCTTCTCTCAGTCTCAGTAAAAGGCTCTAAAATCTCTAATGTTTAATCATTTAAGGCAGATCAGTCTTTAAAAATGTTTTCCTTTAATGACGTTAGCAGCGGATGTAGGGCTGGGCGATGTATCGAATAAACGCGATGTATCTGGAGTTTCCCCAAGCACGAATGACTCCATCGCAGCCATCAAGTGCAAATTCGCATAACGACGTTAATCCGTCTGCATCTATTTCACTGCCAGTCTTATTTTTCTCCACACACTTCGAATGCATCATAAATCCCTCCTCCAAACAGGATTATTTTCTCGCAAACTACAGCAACCGGCCAACGAATTATTGCGACAGTAGGTGTCACAGCTGACCGATATACGGCAGCGGTTTGGATTTCACGCCGAGGACGGCGATCAAAAGGCGCTAATTTTTAAGAAGTGTTGCAAAAACCATTACTGCAAAGGGCAGAAGTATAAACTTATTCCAGCACCTAAAAAGTCACTGGCTGCAAAATGAAGAATGTTGTAAACTCTGCATGTCAGCGTCTCACCGCTCGCCAATTAAAACGTTCAATCAATCAGCTGTGAAGCCGATGGCGGCGTTTGAAAAATCGATCCCATATGAGAGAAACAGGAAGAGATGGAGGGAAATCGCAGACGCTGTTTATGACGTTATTTAAATGTTTATTAGATGCTCTAACAGCTGATGTTCACAGGTTTTAAAGACTTTTTCTAAACTTAGCAATGTTCTCAAATTTATTACTTTTTGTGCTTCTTTAAAATTCCCAACAGGTAAAGATCTAAAGCGCTAATAGATGCTCTGATAATGATCTCATTTTTGGACTTTATTTCCACTTTTTTTTGTTTATTTAGGTCTTTTAGTTTTAACTTTTTTCTGCTTTCTTTATTATGCACAAAAGAGCCGGGGTTTTTTTTGTTTTGCATTTTATTTATTATTGCGTGTTTTTGCTTTGTTTCCTGTTTGCTGGGATCTTGTTTAAGGTCTAAAACTGACACCCAAACACATCATGGGGCAGAATTATTAGTGAAAAGTTGTTTAAAATAAAGCAAAATGAAATTAAATTTTAAACCAAAAGTTTGAATGATCAGTGCAACTTTCTGCACTCTATTGTTTTTGAAGCTCATTTAAACACATGGTGATATATATGGTGCATATATAGCCCTAATATATGGCCCAGTTCTAACCGGATGGGTCAGTGAGGCTGAAGTTTTTGTGTTTTCAGGTATGTGGAGCGGAAGAACTTCCTGGAGCGCGTGGACCATCGGCAGTTTGAGCTGGAGAAAGCGGTCCGACTGAGCAACATGAAGCGATGACACGCCGGCGGTCCGCAGACGGACGGAGCAGTGCGGCGTCTGAATCCCTGGGATTGTTGGTTCCTCCTGGCAGGTTGGATTCTGCTCCTGTAATGAGATCCATCTGGGTCTGAGGCTCCTGCCTATTTCAGGCTGGGTGTATAAATAGGCTCCTGGAGCCTCGGCCTGCTTCCTGCTCCCAGCCAGAGATGAACGTCTCCTGCTGCTCAGGTGTGAACATGGCTGCTCCGTTCGTCCAAGGATCAGATGAAAACATTAACTGGTTTCTGTTGGTTCGTGTTTCGGGTCTCATCGTCACACAACAGTCGGAGCTTCCAGAAGAACCGGAAGCGGATCTAGATTAGAACTCTGTTCTGGAGGGTTGGACCTAAACTGCAGCTCATGTTTAAAAAGCTCGGTGACCTTTGAAGGTTAAATCTGTGGATTTAACGACTCTTTGCTTTTAAAGTGATCCAAACATTTGCTCTCTGGATGTTTAAACGTCTTCCTCCTCGGCGGGCCGCCTCAGAACCAGCGTGGCACTGACCGCTCCATCAGGAGGATGATGATGATGATGATGATGATGATTAGGGCAACGGTATCCATGTATTTAGGAATGACTCTGGTACCGCGGCGCTGCTAACACCGCTAACCTTTCTGTCGCCCAGTTATTCAATGTTTTTCTGTTTGGAGCCGCTGGCTGCAGAGTTTCCCTGGTTTTAGCTCCTGAACGAGGACCATTCAATAAGTCCTGCCCCCGACCCACTTCCTGTTGTTAGAGCAAGCTGAACATTTGCACCTACAACTGTTTATATCTCTATAGATTAATTGGACAATTCCAGCTGTGAAGTAACTGCGGTTTCTGATTTACAGGCGTTTGAACTGAGTCAGCTGTTTGTGTATTTGAAAGGTCGCCCACCACGGGAGACTTAGTGATGATGCTCCATCATCTGACCTTGTAAAAGATGTTGCAAGGTCGTATGATGGGGCGTCGTCACCGTAAGTTACTTTAATTTGATCAAAAGTCTCCCATGGAAACATCCTTTCAAATACAAAAACGCCTGCAAATCAGAATCCACCATTAGTTCACATCTGGAATTGTCTAATTAATCTACAGAGATATAAATAGTTGCATATGCAAGATTTCAGCTACATCAAACTACTAGAAGTGGGTCAGTATGGAAGGAAAACGGTCTCATTGAAATCTGCCCATTTTTGGACGCCAAATTTTAAACAAATTCTTTTAACACCTCATTTTAAACAGAATATTTTTACACATTGAATTCCTTACACTGTTTTTATCCGGGATTTTTTTGAAGGTGAATTTTCACTAGATATAAATTTAGTGTGAGAAATTTAATGTGTAGCAAAATTCAGTGTTTAAAATGGGGTTTATCAAAAAAGGTCAGATTCCTGTTTTTCTGCCGTAGGTCGGGGGCGTTACTTATTGAACATCCTGACATGGAGACGTTTCTCCTGACCAGACGATCATCTTCCTCGGCCCACGGTTCCTTTAGAACCAGAATTCATTGTTTTTTTTATGTTAAAGCCGTCCCCAGACCTTCCTCTGATGTCAGAGCCACAGTTTGTGAGGAGAACCAGGGACTCCAGGCAGCATGGATGTCGATCCTCAGTGAAGCTCCGTCACAGCTGGCATGGTTAGAAATGGCGTTTTCCTGGTTACCCGATTGGTTTCTGCTCCCTCAGAACAAATACATCAGTTTGGAATAAACTTCCAGTGGTTCCAGGTTTGTGTCTTTGGCAATAAAAGCTTTCATTAAAAAAACTTCAAGCTTCACTTTTTTCTTTTCAAACAAGCAAACTGCTGCTAATTTGAACCTAGAAATGCTTCAGGAGCTTCTTCCACATAACGAAGGAGGTTATGAGGAAGAAGCAGGAAAACTCTGCATCTACATGACGACAGGCTGTCTGCAGGCGGAGGCGTCCTGAGAGCACAGACCCTCCGTCCACAGCCAGGCAGAGGGACGTCTCACCTGGCACAGGAAACTTTTAGGGTTTTATAGATTTTATTCATGTTTGATCAGAATTAAAACCATTTCAGACCAGATCTCCTGAACTGATTGTTTTTCCTCCATGAGAAATAGGATCAGCTTCAGCAGGTCTGACCTTCGTCTCCATTCCGTCTCATTTAAAAATTATCTTCATCTCAACAAGCTCTTCCTCAGTGGAGCTGAGAAAACCAAGGCTATGAGATGTGGTTTTTAAAGCCTTTTTATTGTTTCTAAATGAAAAGGCATTCTGAAGAGAGGCGATCAAACGACTGAGGAAGACGCCGCTTATACTGAGATCAGTTGGAAGGAAGAAGTGCAGGCTGGCAGGAGCAGTGGAGTAATGGCAGCTCACCCCCAAATTCCACATACTCCAGCGCTCCGCCCCGCTCACCTACGTCGTGCCAAGTACTTGTCATGTTGACCAATGAGAGCTGCTCCACATCCACCGCTACTCCTCCATCCTTCACAGTCAAAATACGGAGCTGAGCTATTTTTTAGCTCCGCAATTCCAATTATACCAAACAGGAAAAAGAATGACAAGAAGATCCAGTTTGTTAAATTAAAATTTAGTAACGATGGATCAGTAAATACAGATTAGAGCGTAATTCACATATATATATATATATATATATATAGTTTAATAGTGGTTCCTAGAATTTCTAATTCCAGTTTTCCAGTTCACCAGATCATCCAGTCAGATTGATTCAAAGTTTTCTATCTAAGGAAAACCAGCTGATTGCATCGACTCATTGACTCTTCAGCAATCCCTCACACTAAGCATGCTTGTAGCGACAGTGGAGAGGAAAAACTCCCCTTTAACAGGAGGAAACCTCCAGCAGAACCAGGCTCAGTGTGAGCGGCCATCTGCTGAGGCCCACTGGGGTTCAAGGAGACAGAAGCAGACATAGAAAAAGAAGCATAGATACAAAAGGCTACTGTCAACCAGCTCCACAGGCGGCCCCGTCCAGGAAACACACAGCCAGGCAGACGAGCTCCGAGCCAGCTCCCATGTCAGAGGATGAAGAGAGCACATCCAGTTAGTCACAGTCAGAGAAACAGGACTACACTGAAAAACAGGCCAAGCTCCAACATCTAGAAACAAAGGAGTTGATGGCAGCAGCACAGCTGATATTTCTCTCCAGGATGGAGTCACAGCCAAACAGGAACAGACCAGATGAAGCTACTATGAGAAAAAGCAGAGAGAGCAGAACGCTAGAGATTGAACTAACAGATTCTGCAGAGTGGGAGAATAGAGATAGAATGAAGCAGAATGATGAAGAGGGGTCCCTATGTCCTCCGGCAGTCTAAGACTATAGCAGCATAACTAAAGAGATAGCTCAGGATAACCTGAGCCACCCTAACTATAAGCTTTATCAAAAAGGAAAGCTTTAAGATGGGGTAATGCATAAAATTCCACCGGTAAAATTTTTTACCAGCAGGTGGAGCCATTGCAGCTCCAAGCTGACGCCAAAACATCCAAACCCCACAGCTCTGGAACTGTTATAGCTAGAGGTCTAAAATTGTCTGCTTTTGTGGTTGACATGATGTAGAACAAATATAATACAATAAAATCTACTTTTTCTCAAGAATGACTTAATTACTGCTGTTCAAAAAAGACATGAGTCATGTTTAAACGAATGTAGCTTGGTCTGTGCTCTACTCACCCATTTTTAATTAGCTCCTCAGTTATGTGGGTAAAAATAGGCGAAGATTACCCAAAATGAGGTGGATGTTAAAAGGTTAAAAATCTAAACTCCGCTTTTCTTTAAATTAGTGCATTTGTTCTTGAATTGAGGAGGAAAATGAGACACTTTGCCAGTGGAACAATTTCAAGTGCATAATATCTAATTATCTTGTTTTAAGACAAAAAAAAAACCTAATTTCCATGGCAAATAATTTTATTAACCCGCTCAGATTAAGGTTTATTAGACTTAAAGCCATTTCTAGATCTTTTTTGCAGTGTGGAAATGCTCGGGTTATTTCTCCTAGTCGGTGCTCCTGCTTTCTGCAGCTCGGCCCCTTTAAGGCTGGACTGGATCCTCCTGGAGGAGCTGCCAGCAGACGGAGCAGCGCGTCTGAGCGCAGCGCTCCCAGCTGCGTCATTTTCCAGCTTCTTCCTGAGGAGGCTGCAGGATAGAGGGACAGACAGACTGAGCAGGGGGGGAGGTCTGCTGCTCTATGGAGGTCTGAGCTGCAGACCGTCTCTTTCGGTCAAATAGAAGAAGAGGAAAACGATCCAGCGGCGTCTGCAGGAACGACTGACAGCAGCAAGATGTCCGTTCCTGTGAGTAACCCTGATCAGATCAGCTGCATCCTGCAAACACACCCACCTCCTCTCATTGCACTGGCTGCTGCTCCTGCAGAGGCTCTGCAGCTCCTGCCAGGCTAACAGCTACATGCTGGCCTCTATAGGAGCAGTCAGACCATCTCCTCTCTGCTGCACACTTCCTGTCAGCACCCTGATGATCCTCTCGGATCTGCTGGAGCTTGTTTTCTTCCTCCTTATCACATTCCTCATATCTGTGTGTGTGAGCTGCTGTCTTGGGATCAGAGTGAGGACCTGGGCTGTTTTGCAAACGGTTTGGTTTAATTTAGGTTTAGGAAGAGGAATGCACTGGATATGGCTGTGGTCAGGGACGGATTTAGGAAACGTGGGGCCCTAGGCAAAGACAGGCAGGGGCCCCTCTGAATGTAAAAGACAACACATAAAACAGACCCATTCTACAGATAGATAAATGTTAATAGAATAGACATCCATTATCTGTTCTAGGTTGTGTCGCTCTCTTCTTGTCCCTTTTCTTCTTGTTTTCCTCTCTATGTTTTGTACTCAGCTGACTTTTCATGCTGTCTCTAAAGGAATGAAAGATTTTTTCCAAGCACTAAGCTCACTTAGCTGATTGCTCCTTCCTGTGTTTCCAAAAAGGCCAAAGTAAATAACCCAGTCCTTCTTTTCACTGTAGACAAGCCATGATCTGCTTCTCTGTTCTCCATTTTTCATTTGGATGAAATAATAGCTGCATGAATCATGACAGCAGACAAGATAGAGGAGAGCAGGAGGCAGGGTTACCAATCTACTTGCTCTGGTGAGCAGAGTTCACTGCTTTTAGATGTTGTCTCCAAAGTTTCCAGTAGCAGAAAAAAGTCTCTAGATTTGGCGCTAGGAGCTTTTTAGAAATCAAAGTTCTAGAGGGGTCTGAAAAGTGGCTAAATATAGCGACTAAAGCGCTAAGTTAGCAACACTGCTCTTTGCATGGTTTGTTTTCAAATGGTTTGCTGCTGTCTGTTTGGACCTTTCTGAACATGTGCAGCAAATGGACTGATCCAAGATGGTGGACACTGAATGGGGGGGCTGAGACACACTTAATATTATCAGCATTCTGATGGCATTTTAACCA